TGTCCCCCGGTCTCCGTGCCTCCCCACGCGCACACACACAAGCATCTCATTCACGTGGCGCTCCCAGCGCCTGGCACCCGTTCTGACAGCTTAAAATAGGCACACAAGCAGCCTTTGTCGGGGAAAGGAAGGAAGGAAGCAAGCAAGGTTTGAAAGGAGACAGCAGACCACGCGGTCCAGGAAAGCTGGGGGCCTGTGGCGGGCGGTGGCAGGAGCTCAACGGGAGGCAACGTGAAGGTCACTGGGGACGGGGCAGGTGGGGCCCACTCCCACGGTGCCACGGAGGCCACGAGGGGGACTGCGACTTTGTCGAGTGGGTGATGAGTTGGGGACGGTGGCAGAGAAATGATGAACGGATCTGTGTGCTTCAGAGAGTGGATTCTGGTCGTGCGGGGTCAGCCCACTGGAGCAGGAGGGACTGGAGGCCAAACCGCCAGCCGGAATGCTCTGAGCAAGAGACGGCGAAGTGCTCAAATCAGGGGGAAAGAACCACAGAGGGGAGAGAGAGGGATGGAACCAGCACGGTGACACCTAACTCCCCCAAGCTCCAGTTTAGGGGGCTGTCAAATGCCCTGGAAAAGGCCATTTAAATAGCAGCACGATTCTTCACCGCCCTAGTGTGGGAGCAGCCCAGCTGTCCATCAGTGGATGATGGATCCACACAACGTGGTCCATCCACACACCGGAATATTATGCAGCCGTGAAGAGGAGCGAGGCCCTGACACAGCCGCACGAGTACGGACCTGAGCACACGACGCTCAGGGAGAGAAGCAGACACAGAAAGACACACGGTGTGTGACCCCATTGACGGGAAACCTCCAGAATAGGCAGATCCACAGACAGAGAGCAGGCTCATGGGTGCCAGGGGCTGGGGAGTGACTGATGGGGACGGGGGATCTTACTGGGGTGATGAACATGTTCTAAAATGAATTTATGGGGATGGTGGCACAACTTCACAAACTCCCCCCAAAACTGACCTGCATCCTTAAATGGCTAAGTTTTCTGATAAGGAAATTGTACCCCAAGTTAAAAAATAAAAAGCAGGAAAACATGCCCCTTCGCAAGGTTCCCAGGAGAAAGAGTAGCCGGTTCTGGAAGCGCGTCAGAGCTGCCCCCAGGGAGGAGGAGGCAGAAGTGACCACCCCTGAGAGGTGGCCCCAGCTCTTCAGTCCCCAGTCTGGTCTCTAAGTCTCCTGGGTGACATGTGGGACAAATTTCCTCCAGACTCTGAAACGAGAGGCCACAACAAACAGGAGCACGAGAACAGCGGTGACAATCCAGAGCTGTCTGGACGAACATCGCAACCGGAGGAAGGGTCCCCGACACCGCCAAGGATGCGGACGGCGGAGGCCAGCGGTTCAAGGACCACAGCAAACCTCACGGGACCCACACTAGGCCCGGGCGAACCCCAGAGGAGCAGCCCGCACGTTTGGGGCACAGAGGGAGGGGAAAGACGTCTGTGTCAACTCCCAGTGATTACGCCACCATCCTGCTCACCGTCCCCTCTAGAAGGCTCCAGAAAGTTCCACCATCGTGGAAGTCAGGCACAGCCCTTGTGTAAGAAATCACAAAGGAGCTTCAAGAACACACGTAACCTAGTAAATAGCATCTTGAAGACTATTTGTCTCCAGATGCAAATGAGAAAACCTGTAATAACACCTTGAAGGGAAAAGGGAGTTTTCACACTACTGCAGGGTGTACAAAAAAAACCCCGCCTCCATTCAGTAAACAGGGGGCTGAGCGTCTGTGTGTTAGCGTAATGCTGTCTTCCCTCCGAACCACAGCGCTCCCGGCTTTACGAGACAAGAGCAGACGACGCGTCAGTCGCCGGATATTTTCCGTAGGACACCAAGAATTTCCCAAAGAATTCAGGCTTCTCTGCTCGGTGAAAACCACAGATGCCGACAGCAAACTTGGGTCTCTCTGTGCCCGCCGCCCGCCGGTCACTGAACCCCGGATACGAAATCGGGGTGAAAGCTGGGAAGCCACACAAAAGACTCGCCTAGAAAGAAGCTGGCATCTCCCAAATTCTCGAGGAGCAGTGTGATTTTAATCTGATTTTATTTTTTCCTCTCAAAATGAGAGCACTAGATGATTGACGACCAAAACCCAAATCTGGGCGAGATGTGGTCTTTAAATGAGAAAATAACTTGGTTTTGTCTATGATGGGGGGGTGGTGTCTCCGCCAGGGGCGGTCCTGCCCCCAGGGGACATCAGGTGACATCTGGGGACATCTGTGGTTGTCACACTGGGGGAGCTCCTGGCATCAAGTGGGTGGGGGCCAGGGATGCTGCTCAACACCCTACAGCGCCCAGGACGGCACCCCCAAGAGAGTGACCTGAACCCATGTCAGCCGTGCCGGGGGGGGGGAGACCCAGGTCCCTCATATGAACTCAAGTTGTAAAGCTCATGTATTTAAAGAGCATACAATCGTGGTCCCTCGGGGGGACACATCCAAATGGCTCCTGGGGGCACATCTACATCAGAATGACCCCTACAGCCTCCTCTTACTTGGACACACTTGTTCCCTGACAAACCTTCAGAATCTCCTGGCACCAGATCCAAGATCTTCCTCTTTTTTTTTTTTTGCTGAGGAAGATTAGTCCTAAGCTAACATCTGTTGCCAATCTCCCTCTTTTTGCCGAGGAAGACTGTCACTGAGCTAACATCTGTGCCCATCTTCCTCTATTTTGTATGTGGGATGCCACCACAGTGTGGCTTGATGGGCAGTGTGTAGGTCCATGTGGGGGGATCCGAACCGGTGAACCCTGGGCCACCAAATGGGAGCACAGGAACTTAACTACTGAGCCACAGGACCGGCCTCCATGGAATTCTTTTTGTTTGTTTGTTTTTTCCTCACTTTTAATAATATAGAAATTATTTTTTGCAGATTCTTTTTCAGACCTCCAGGGGTGATTCTCACGTGCACCCCAAGGTTGAAGGACTGGGGTCAGATGGCGCCTGACCCCTTTCCTCCCCTCTCTGACGACCTAGTAATTCCGCCTACCCACCTCCCCCCTCCCCCCTCCCAAAGAACCCTCGATTTAGAACATCGTTATCCATGCCGCAGGCACGCACCCGTGCCACGTGCGCGCTCGGTGCTCCCCTTCCCTCCCTTGACCCTCGCAGCCATCCCGCGGGGTCCCCGCTCCCGTTCCTTCTATCAGTCCCATTTCACAGAGCAGGAAACTAAGGCCCCCAGAGGCCACGTGGGCACACAAACAGCCAGGGCCGAGATGGGATCGCAGGGGGCGCATCCTCCAGATGCCACTGCGCCCTTCACCTCCGCATCCCAGCCAACGAGTTCGCGCCCCTGCGCTGCCTCGCCGCCACCTAGCAACAGCGGAAGGCTCTGCGCTGCTGTTCATCACGCCTGTCTTCTCCCGCCCACCTCCCGGCCCCGTGGCAGCCCCCGCTCCCCAGGAAAAATAAAGTGCCACCCACAGCCCTCAAGAGCACCGTCCCCAAAACTCCCACTTGGGTCCCTCCCCCCTGAGCCCAAAAATCCCTGAAAAATTCAGTCACTGAGTCAAGCTGTTCTGCGTCCCGAGACACCCTCCTTGGCACTGTCCATCCCAGCAACAGGCCCCACAAAGTCCACTGAACTCCGGGCTCCTCCAGCTCACGGTGGCCCCGGGGGGTTTCTGCCCTGTGCCCCCTTTTACAGAGAATGATTAGCCCCCCCAAACGAGGGGGCGAGTCCCCTCCACGAGCCGTATGACTTCTAACCCAGACCCCTCCACTTTCTCCAGAACAGTGACCCTCCGGCAGACACCTGTCCCCGCGTCTCCCAGCCCTCCACTCCCCTCCCATCTCTCCGCTCCCCTCCTACTTCCTCACCCCCCCACACACTCCTAACTCTCCATTTCGCCCCAAATCCCTCGGGCCCCTTCTGAAACAGGTCTGACCCCCACCTCCATCCCTCAGCCCTCCCCGTGTCTCTGCCCTCTGGCCCTGTGCCAGCTCAGCCTAACCCCGGGCTCTGCAATCAGGCTTCCCGGCCAGCTCGACCCCCAGCTCCAGCTCGACCCCCAGCTCCAGCCTCAACTCCAGCTGCAGCCTCCTCCCCAGCTAACCTCCACCTTCAACTCCTCTCCCAGCCCCCTCCTCAAATAAGTCCCACCCTCAACTCAACCCCTATGCCCCTCCCCAGCTAATCTAGACCCCCAACTCAGCCCCAGCCCCCTCCCCAGCTAACCTAGACCCCAGATCTCCAACTCCAACACCAGTCCCCAACTCCAGCCCCTCCCCAGCTGACTCCATCCTCCATCTCCACCCCCAGCCCCTTCTCCAACTAACCTTGACCCTCAGCTCCAGCCCTGATTCCTAATTCCAGCCCGGATCCGCAACTCCAGCCCCCTCCCCAGCTAACCTGGACCCCCAACTCCAGTCCAGATCCCCAGGCTCCACTCCCAGCCCCTCCCCAGCTAACCTCGACCTCAACTCCAGCCCCAGGCCCCTCTCCAGCTAACCTCCACCTCAACTCCAGCCCAGAACCCCAGGCTCCATCCCTAGCCCCCTCCCCAGCTAACCTCATCTCCCAGCTCCAGCCCCTCCCCAGACAACTTGACCTCAACTCCAGCCCCCTCCCCAGCTAACCTCCAGCCCCAGCCCCGCCCCCAGGCCCCTCTCCAGCAGACCCCGACCCGACTCCCAATTCCAGCCCGGATCCTCAACTCCAGCCCCCTCCCCAGCAGACCCCGACCCCCAGCTCCCGCCCTGACTTCCAATTCCAGCCCGGATCCTCAACTCCAGCCCCCTCCCCAGCAGACCCGACCCCCAGCTCCTGCCCTGACTCCCAGTTCCAGCCCGGATCCTCAACTCCAGCCCCCTCCCCAGCAGACCCCGACCCCCAGCTCGGTCTGCAGCCAGATCGGAGCCCTCGGAGTCCCGCTTCCCCCGGGACCCCGGGCCTGCCCTCCGCCCCGGCCACGCGCCGGCCCCCTGACCCCGGGGAGGACGGCGGACCTGGCCCGGACCCCGGCCGCACGCGCCCTTACCTGCGCCCGGGCCACCGCGGCCGCCTCAGCCCCGCCGCGCAGCCGAACCCGCCGCCTGGTAGCGACCGCGGCTCCCCTCCTCGGGGCGGGGCCGGCGCGCGGGGGGCGGGCCCTGGCGGCCGGCGCGGCCAATCGCGAGCCCGGACTGCGGGAGGCTCGGGCCGAGGGCGGGGCGCAGGGCAGGCAGCGGGGTAGGCTGCGCCCAGGAGAGGGGGCGGGGCGCGGGGCGCCGGCGCGGCCGGAGGAGGAGCGTTGAGTGGCACCGCCGCTGGCCACCCGCGAGCGGGGAACGCGCGGGGGGCGGGACTATGCTAATTTGCAAATCGGCTTGCAGGGGAGGCCTCCGCCGCGAGGCGGCGAGCGGAGTTTCAGAGGTGACTGGCGACGTCAAGGAAGCGCGTGGAGGTTCGCGAGTTCGAATCCCGGAGGGCCCATGGGTTCGAATTCCAAATCCTCGCTCCGGGGGTTCATTTTCCCGGGGCAGAATGTCCCCTCCTAATCGGTCGCCTGGCTAGCGGGACAAAAATAATAATAATTGCTCTCTCTCGTTGAACCCTCTGCATAAGGCTAGGAGAAACCATATCCCCATTTTACAGAGGGGGAAACTGAGTCTCAGAGAGGTTAAACCCACGGTCACTTGCCCAAGCCTGTCTCATAATTTCCAAGGTTTCTCAGTTTCCCAACTCCTGGGCTTTAAAAGCAGGTTCCTGGGCCCCCACCCAGATGGAATGATCCAGAATCCTGCAGGGGGTGGGTGGAGAGCTGGAATAGACCCCTGGAATGTGCATTTTTCACAAGCTCCCTGGCGATGTTGGGAAACATTTGCGATGTCTTTGAAAGCATCCAGCCCTGATGGAAGGAAGAATTTCTTACACAGAAGGATAGAGCCACCATATTCTGAGACATCAACTACCTTGTGCAACCAACACTTATATTCTGTGATCTGAGATGCTGGCCTCCCTGCTGGGCCCCCCAGGCCTCCTGTCATCCCCGCAGGAACTTCCTTGCTCATGCCCTCCATGCACAGAGAGAACCAGGTGCCTGGGGCGGGCAGGCATCTCACTCCCTGGCCCGTATCCCCCAAAGGAATTACTGTCTAAACAAGGGTCGCAAACTGGTGGCTTGTGGCCCAAAACTCCTTAAAAAATTTTAAATTCGTTGCCAACATTTGAAAATCTGGACGTTTTACAGAAAGAAATCCAGATTTCCAGGCACTCTTGGAAAAATCAGAAGGTTCGGGATTCCTGGAGCCATCGGTAGACGTGGCTGCCACGCTTCACTCGAGGACATCATCGTGTGGCCTCAACGACAGAGCAGGGTCGAGACTGGGGTGAGGCCAGTGAGGCCATGTTCTCAAATCCAAAACTTAAAGGGGGAAAAAAAAAATCTTGCCTGCAAGATAAATGCTACATTAATGCAATATTTTAAAATTCAAAATAAATGCAGAAATAATCCGTGATGAATAAAATACCAAGATTTTAGAGAAAGACAAGATCTGGTTCTGCACGCGGGAGAACCACCTCTCTTGCTTTTCCCTAGCCCCGCCCCGCCCCCCAAGTCAGATACTGTCTCTAAAATAGGGATGTTTTGTTCACCACGGCTGCCTTTGCGTTGAAATATGTACCTTGATGGTTGAGTTTTTGGTGCCCTCCGCCGAGTTTTGCACCCATGGCAAGTGCCTGGCTCTCCTCACCCTAGACGGGCCCCTGCTTATAAGTTTGCAAACTCAACCCAGAGCCGGTTAATAGATGGGGAATCTGAGGCGCCGTGGGTTCCTCCCCGTGTAAAACGGGGCTCATAGCGTCTGTCCGCTCCCCACAACTGGCTGCAGCTAAGTAACCGGGTCTGGCAGGACTCTCGAGGGGTCTTGTGGGGGACCACCCGGGGAAGGGCTGAAATGTTCCTGTGACTCGCCGGCGTGCTCATCCCCAAAGTGCAAACTCTTCCCACATCCCCATCACTCACCCCCCAGTTCTCACCTCCTCATGCCTCATCTCCATTCCTCACCTCCTCGTCCCTTACTTTCTCCATTTCTCACCTCCTTCATCCTTCATCCCTCACCTCCTCCATCCCTCATCCCCATCCCTCACCTCCTCATCTCTCACCTCCCCCGTCCCTCATCCCTTGTCCCCATCTCTCACCTCCCCATCCTTCACGTCCCTCATTCTTCGCAGGCGGTAAGCTGACCCCCCACCCCCACCCCAAAGAAGGCGCACCGGTGGGGAATGCAGGATCCACTTCTTTATTGCAGGAAAACTATTTCTAGAGCGAATGCTACACAGACCCCACGACAGGGGGCGGGGGCACCCACATGCGGGGCAGAGGGGGCAGGGCCGGGATTACAGCAAGCGTGGCCTGGTGCGGTCCGCAGACCCAGGGATGTCCAGGCAGGATGGGCAGCAGCGGGGGCAGGCTCCGGGGCCCCCTCCTGCTGCAGAACCCCTCTCTTGTCGGGGTGGGGCCTGGGGAGGGAGAGGCCTGGAGGCGGGCGGGGCCCCAGAGAGATTGTGCTATCAGGGTGTGTCCCTGAGAAAAGGGCCCAGACCCCTGCCCCAGCCCCACCCTCTCCGGCACCTTCAAGGCCCAGGAACCACTCCTGGAGCCGACAAGGGGCACCACCCGCTGCTGCTGGGCCCTGGGCCCCCCACGGGATAAGGGGGCTCAGCTGTGCTCAGACAGGAGGCTACTGTTCTTGCCGGGGCCTGTCCACGTGCAGGGCGGTGACCTCCCACAGACGTGCACGCACACACACTCCCTCTCTCTCACAGTGTGCCCAGTAAATGTTTGCGGAGCGAAGTCACAGGAACACAGAGAAGAACATCCATGAGGCTACCAAGGTGGACACAAACAGTCCCTCTTACCCACACAGAGTCCCCACATGGTCACATGACTTCTAGCCACACGGCCTCTCTCGCACATGCACACACACACACACAGTTCAGTCCCAGTGTGCACAAGCACACACACGTGCAGCCTCCTCATGCCCAATGACACCCAAGGTTGTGAGCAGCCTCAGGGAGACACCCATGTGACAGGGAGATGAGAGCAGCTCCAGCTGACAGCCACTGAGCCACCAAGCCCCTCGGTCCTGTGACCACAGAGACCTGAGGGCTGCCAACAACGAGACCCTTCCCCAGTCCGACCCTCGGATGAGACCGCAGCCGGGCCCGCACTCTGACCGCAGCCTCGTGAGATCCTGCACACAAGACCCGCTAAGCCGTGTCTGGACTCCTGACCCCCAGAATCCGGGAGATGATAAACGTGCGTTGTTGCAGGTGTCTGAGTCTGTGGTCCTCTGTTGGGCAGCCACGGCTGACGGGGACAGATTTTGAGCAGAGAGCCACCTTGCTACAGCGTGAAACAGGCTCGGTGTTCCCCAAACAGTCAGAGCAAACAGGTTTACAGATGCTCTCTGATAAATCACATCACCCGCTCCCGAAAAGACAGCTGCTTGTGGTCACACTCATGCTGTAGGAAGGTTCACACCTCGCAAATATCCTGTCCTGCTGACAACCACACTGCCCACTCCTGCATAGACCCTACACCGTTACGACACACAAAACACTGTCCCAGGCACGCACCATCCCCATGACAGCCACACACACACACACACACAGACACACGCCTGGACACAGCCATCCGCCCACCTGTGCACACCACACTGCACAGCTACACCATCCCATGGTCACCCCCAACCTAGGCCTGCAGGTCCCCTGTGCTTGTCAGACACAGCCCCACACGGCCCCAAGAGCGTGGAACCATCTAGATGCTCTCACGAAACACTCGGAATCTCACGTGGCAGACACACCCCGACCCCAGGACTCGCCTTCCTGGTGGGCCCCCTCTCTGGGGCACATTTGGCCGGAGGAAGCGGCTGCTCAGAGCTCTGCCTTGACCCCTCAGATCCTGCTGGTGCTGGGTCCGGTCGCCTGCCCCTAGACGGGCCCCAGGCACCCCTCTCCAGCACCCCGGATCCCCCTGCCGGGGCCTCGGTGGGGACACCCCGTGCCGATCTCTCTCTGCGGGCCGTGTCCATGAAGGCCCTCCGTATTCACGCCGGATGGTCCCCTGGAGTTGTGCTGTGGCCATCAGCCGGTCTCGGGCTTCCCCTGCCTGCACCCCAGAGCCAGGCCGTGCGAGGAGTGGGACTCAGGGCTGGTGGGGCGCTGCTCCGGGCCCTGTGGTTATTGCCTGGCGGGGCCTGAGACCCGTCCCGCGAGGCCGCCCCCCCCCCCCAGGCTGTGGGGACAGGGGCGAGAGGGGTGGTCTGGGACCCGGGGTCGGGGGCACAGGCCAGAGGTCATGAGAGATGGAGGTGGTGGGGGGCGGGGTGTATGTTAATTAAACACCAAATAGGAGAAAACAAGATCTGAGGTCCATGTGCATTTCAACTCCCCCTCCAGCAAGGTCACAGTGATCTGACGGGGGAGGGGGCGCAGGTCTGGCGGGGGGGAACCCAAGGGAAAGGGTCAGAGACGGGGGTCCTGGGAGACACGGAGACAGGCAGAGATGGGAAAAACCCAGCACCCTCAGTCCCGATGGGGACAGGCAGCTCCCCCATCTTCCCACGTGCAGATCAAGGGGGCCACCTCCAGCACTGAGCTTTGGGGGGTACAGACAGGATGGGGGGTGGGCAGTGAAGGGAAGGCAGAGTGATATGACAGCGCCAGACCTGCCATGGGCTCGCTGGGGCCTTGGTTTCCCCAGCAGAGACGGTGGAGGAAGGAAGAGAAGTGGAAGAGGCGAGAGACAGGAGAGGAAGGCAGCTGCAGGGGGCGCCGGGAGAGGCACGGGGCAGGCGGGCGGGCGGGCGTCCCGTGGGCTCACATGAGGACGCACTTGCCCTTGATGCGGTCTGTCCTCTTCTGCTTGCTGGAGCGCTTACCGTCGATGTTCAGGCTCATGTTCCGGCGCGTCTCCAGCGTGAGCAGCTCCTGGAAGAGCTCCTTGACGTTGTAATTCATCTTGGCCGAGGTCTCCATGAAGGCGCATTTCCACTCCCGCGCCACGGCCTGGGCCTCGCGGGTGTCTACCTCCCGCTGCGTCTCGTCGCACTTGTTGCCCACCAGCATGACGGGGATGTCCTCCACGCTGCCCTTGATCTGCACGATGAGCTGGTAGATGGGCCCCAGCTCCTCCAGCGACTGCTTGCTGGTGACCGAGAAGACCAGGATGAAGGCGTGGCCCTTGGAGATGGACAGCCGCTGCATGGCGGGGAACTGGTGGCTGCCCGTGGTGTCGGTGATCTGCAGCGTGCACACGCTCTTGTCGCAGCTGATCACCTGCCGGTAGGTGTCCTCGATGGTGGGGATGTAGGTGTCCCGGAAAGTACCCTTCACGAAGCGTAGCACGAGAGAGCTCTTGCCCACTCCGCCCGCCCCGAACACCACCACTCGGTAGTCATTGCTCTGTTCGGGCATCTTCCACGCGGGGGGTGGGGGTCGGGGCCCGGAGGGCTCGCGCCGGCTGCTAGAACCCCACACCGACCCTGTACGGAGAGGAGTGTCAGAGGCAAAAGGCCGCTCAGTCGGGAGGGGACGGGTCCGGGCCCGGGGTGGGGAGGTGGGGGTATGGCTTCTCAAAGGAGATGGCATTTCTCCTGCGTCCTGGGCAGGCCCTTCTGGTGCACTTGGCCGCCTTTGCCATTCTGCCCTGCGTGCAGGCTGGGAGCCAGCCCCCTCTGCTTGCTTCCCGCCTCAAGATCTGGGGCCTGTGCGCCTTCCCAGGGGACTCTGGGCTGGGGGAGGCGTGGAGATGCCAGTGCGCTCTGCACACCAACCCCTTTCCCCACCGGCATGCCCCCTCTGCCCTCCCGCAAGCTGCACCTGCTTCCCCCTGCCTTCCCAGCACGGCTCCTGGAAGCCAGCAGCCCTGGCTCTGGGACCTGGGCAAGCCGCTTTGCCACCCTGAGCCTCAGTTTTCCTCCTCTGCAAAATGGGTGAAATGGTGCCTCTCTCTGGCAATCACAGCTCTTCCCCCAGCCCAGAGGCTCCTAACGTGGGAGCCACATGGTGGGGTGTTTTTAAAATGCAGATTGCAGGGCTTCAGCCCTGGCCCCGGAAGGGATGAATCAGTTGGCCCAGGACCCTGGGCCCGATGGCATAGTGGTTAAGTTCGTGCACTCTGCTTTGGCCGCTCGGCTTTGTGGGTTCGGATCCCAGGCGCAGACCTACGTACTGCTCATCAAACCATGCCGTCGTGGCGTCCCACGTACACGATAGAGGAAGACTGGCTCAGAGACAATCTTCCTCGAGCAAAAAGAGGAAGATTAGCAACAGAGGTTAGCTCAGGGCTAATCTTCCTCACCAAAAAAAGAAAAAAAAGGGAATTTGCATTTTAAAGCCACTTTCCTCCCCTCATCCCGTAAGTGTGATCCTGGAGCTGCAGGTCCAAGAGTCAGTTTGCAAATCATGACTGATTTCCAACAGCAGCCCAGGTTGGAGATGAGAAAAATGAAACTGAGCCCCGAGAAAAAATATCACTCCCTAAACTCTGTCCCCAGGCTATGCTCTGGCCTGCCCTGGCCTCCCACTCAGGTCTGACATATCTATTGGAACAGAACTCCCATGGAGGGGGTCTTCTTATCATTGCTCCCTTCTCCTGTGCACAGAGAAGTCCAGGGGCCTCAGGAGGTCACACAGCAATTCCTGAAATGACGGAGGGGAGGGAAGAACCTTGGGCTGTGGGCGGGAAGGCAGGAGGCCTGTCTCTAGCATCCGTGTGCTTATTTATAGAAAGCAGCAGAGACCCCTTTCCCTCCCTGCTCCCCAGCTGTCCCTGAGGGTCCCTCACCGTGGGGCTTGGCCTACAGGGGGAGAGACAAGGCAGGTAAGATTGCACCTCAGCCAAGTCACTTCCCTCTGGTGCATCTGGGGAAGGGGGTGGTGGAGCGAGACCCGATGGTGTGGACCTGGTGGTGAGAACCCAGGCAACAAGTCGGTCCTGGAGCCTCGGTCTCCACATCTGTGAAATGTGAGCCGTCACAGTGTCCCCGCCACGGAGTTGCTGGGACAAGCGGTGTCATAAGCTGGATAAAGCCCCTGGCCAGGTGCCTGGCACACGGAGCCCCCGAGAAGGATGGACTGTCCTGCTTATCGGTCCCAAGGGCTCAGGGTGGGAAGCACGTGGCTGGTGGTGGGGTGGGAAGGCACGTTCTGGATGAGCAGAGGTACCAGATCGTCAGAGAACGACAGATGATCAAGTAGGAGCTCACACATACCCCGCGAGTTCTGCGCCCGGCACTCTGAGGAGCTCTAACAGTGCTAACTAGAGTCGGCTGTCAGGCACATCGGTGACATGCGTGGCAATGCTCAGCACTGGGAGGAAGCTGGGGGGCTGGCTGGCAAAGCGTGCCGGCCGGCTGCTCTGCTGTCACTGCTGTTTTCCAGGTGGGCGCCCCAAGGAGCGGGCACACCGGTGTGCAGCCAGACACCGCCACGACTGGCCCGAAGTGGCGGGTGACAGTCGCTTGTGCTACCCCAGCCCCAGCCCTGGCTTTGCTCTGGGCACAGACCCTCTCGCAGGGCTCCGGGCCCGTCAGCAGGGGTGTCCTCCAGGAGGGGCCCCGTTGGGCCCTGGGATCCCTGACTAGGAGCCCCCATGCAATGCCCCCCAAGTCCACACCAGGCACTCACCTGGTGCTGTTTGAATCCCACCCCCACCTCCTGCGGTGTGGGGGGAGGGGGAGGAGGTCACAGCACCACGCTCAGAGGGGGAGCCACCGGCTCAAGGTCACAGAGCAGGGAGGTGGCAGAGCAGAGCAGGACTTGAACGGGGGCCCTGGTTGGCTGTTCAGCCCCTGAGCCTCCCGCTGTGCAAGGCAGCCCACCCTGAGACCCCCCCGGGGGGGGGCCAGGCGAATCGGCCCGGCCCCAGGTCCCCAAGCCCAGCCCTGGAGGTTGCAGCGACCTCAGGGGCAGGAAAGCAGGCCCCGACCCAGGGGAGGGCCTGGGGGGCGGGATGCTTGACCAAAGGGGTGGGGGTGGGGGTCAGGGTCTGACCTGGGGACCACCTGACCAACCAGGGGTTTGATGAGAGAGGGCCTGCTCCAGGGGGCCTGAGGGAGGGGAGGCACACTGGGGGGCCAGCCCAGGGGCTCCCCTTGGTCGAGGGAGGATCTCAGTGGTGAGGGAGGGGCTTCTGAGTGAGGGGCAGGAGGGCTGAGCGGGTGTCCGGCGGGGAGACGGGCCCAGGGTCCTACTCACTCCTCCGCGGGGGAGGGGGGGTGCTGACCGAACGCGCCCGACCAACCCAGGGAAGGGGCCCAGGGCCCGGGGAGGGGCTGGCCTGGCGGCGGGGCTCGCTGTGAGCACCCGGGGGAGGGGATGCAGAGAAGGCGCCGTCCGCGGTGGGCGCGCGGAGGGGGTCCCGGTGGAGCGGCCGCCCGGGGGAGGAGGAGGAGAAAGAGGAGGAGGAGGAAAGGGAGAAGGGAGGGGAGGGCCGGCCCGCGGCCCGAGGGTGGGGCTCGGACAAAGGAGGGCGCGGGGAGAGGCCGCGGGTGGGATGCTGCGGGCCCGGCCCCCGCCCCGCCCGGCCGCCTACCTGGGCGCTCGTCCTGCGGCGCCGCCGCGGCTGCTGCTGGCCGGCTCGTGTCCGCGCGGCCGCCGCCCCCCGCGCGCCGCCCGCCGCCCGCCGCCGCCGCGCCCGCGCCCGTCCCCGCCCGTCCCCGCCCGCCGCCCGCCGGGCCCGCGCTCCGCCCCTCCCCGGGGACCCGCGCCCGCCAAGGTCACCGCCGCCGGCGCCCCCGCCCCCGCCGCGCGCGCAGCCCCGCGCGGAGCCCGCCTGGCCCCCCACCGGCCCTCCACCCGCACCCACCCCCCCACCTCGACCTCCACTCGGACCCCCACCGGGCCCCATCCAGCCCCCAACCCGGCCCTCCACTTAGACCCCCACACGGACCCCCACCCGGACCTCCACTCAAACTCCCACCAGCCACCCCCCACCTCCACTAGGCTCACCTCCCTGGACCTCCACCCGGACCTCCACCGAGCCCCCCATCCAGCCCCCCACCGGCCCCTCACCCAGCCCTCCATCCGACCTCCACTGGAACCCCCACAGGCCCTGCCCCCCACCTCCACCTGGCTCCCCCAACCTCCACCGGGACCAAGGCCTCCACACAGACCTCCACCTGGTCGCCCATCCAGCCCCCCCCCCCCCCCCCACCCAGCCCTCCACTTGGACCTCTGCTTAGACGCCACCAGGACCCCCATCGGGCCCTCCACCCGGACCCCCACTGAGGACCTCCCCCAGGGACCCCCACCCTTACCCCCTGCCGTGCGCACACCAGCTCCTGCCTGGCCCTGGGAGGTGGCCAAGTCCCTGAGGAGGGCAGTGAGCGTGTGGTCTGCTTCCGCCGGAGCCCCAGGTGGGAGCTGGCACCCTCAGGGTCACCTCCATGAGCCAGGCGCTGCGAAAGAGTGGGGCAGAGTTGAGGTCCCCTGGGGGGCGCAGGGCAGGGGCAGAGGGAAGGGGCCATTGGCAGGACTGCAGATGAAGGGGCTCGGGGAGCAGAATGGGACTCCCAGGGCTGGTGTGGGGCGGTGGTCCACCGCAGGACCCTGCACCTGAGGAGGTGGGTGGGGGGGGAGTGCGGAATGGATAAACAACCAACCAACAGAGGAGGCTCCAGAGGATGGGGCAAGGGGGGGCGCACCTGGACACTCCTGCCGATGCCAGGGGCTTGGCCCTGGCCGGGGAGCGAGGGGAAGACTGAAGAAGGAAGCCAGTACTTGGTCCGGGTTGGTGCCCCTAAGGCAGCCCACCCAGCGGGAGATGGCAGGGGGCCCCTGGTGAGTCTGGGGGCCAGCAGGGAATGGGTTTGGGGTTTGCTGGTAGGAAATGCGTCTCTTCCTCCAGTAGGAGTTGTCTCTGAGAATAAACGTTTCCCTTTGGGAAGTGTGTGCGCATTGAACGCGTCTGTGTGTCCACGTTTAGGGCAGCAAGATACCCTCACCACCCCCGGGAGGTGACCCGAGGGGACACAGGCTCATGACAGAGGAGAGTGGATCCCGGGGTGCAGCAACCAGACCAGGCGTGGGTGTGAGACAGCCCCAGGCCCCAAGCCTGTTGGAGGAAGGCACCCCTTGAAGGGGAGGCTGTCCCTATGGTGCCATAAGGAGGGACTTTCTGGAGTCAGAGCAGATGGAGGGTGAAAGAGGCTCTTTGGGAGGTGGTGAGCTCCCCGTCATGAGATGTATGAGCAGATGAGCCCCTCTGGCTCTTGGCTGCTTGGTTCTTGCTGACACACCATCTCCGTGGCTCTGACTGAGGCAGATCCTTCCTGCACCCTTGGAGATATGGGTGGGCACTGCCCCCAGGACCACCCGGCTCCCCCAGAGGCTGGGCCACTGAGGCTTGTCCAGCTTCTGGGGCTTGAAGTGCCCCACTTCTCCCTGATTCGCCCCTCCGCTGCATCCCCAGGCCTCTCCCGCCTGGACCATCCCACCTGCCTCCTTCCTGGCCTCCCAGGATGGCCCCCTCCAGCCCTCCTTCTATTCCGGCCGGCATTCACCGCCCAGCCTCCGATGTGGGCCTCTGCTGCTCTAACGCCTCCCGTGGCTCCCTTCACCGCCGGCTCAAGGTCCAGCTTCCCAGCCTGGCGTTCAGGTTCCTCTGAGACCCATGGGAACTCTCCTATTGGTTCCCCATCCTCCCCCAGCCACCTGGAGCTGTTCCCAGGCCACTCCTCCCTCCTGCCCTGTCCTTGGCCCCGTGGGCACCTCAGAGTATGGCATGGCCCCAGCCCCTCATCCGCCAGAGATGGAGACAGCCCCGTGAGCAGACATCCTGGCTTCTGACTTGGGTCCTCACGTCATCCCTGGCCAAGCGCCCCTCTGAGCCTCAGTTTCCCCACTGATGAATGAGGATTGCTGTTGTCTCGCCTCAGAGGGTTGCTGGGGACAAACAGGTGTGACATCCACATCCGAGGGGCTGCGGGCCCACAAGCACTCAGGCAGCCCTGCTCCCTCCCACGCTGCCCACCTTGGTCTCCTGAGTGACGGGCCGGCGGCGCTGGGCCGGGCCTCTGGCCTCTGGCCGGCTCCCTGGCTCCTCCGGGCGCCAGCCCAGGCTGGGCCAGGCTGACTCATGCGTAGGAGCGTGGGCACAGGCGGCAGTTCCACTCTGCGGCGGCTATTTATAGCTCCCAGGCCCGGCTCTCGGCCTTGGGAGCCAGGGGAGGACAGTCCCCTCTTCAGCTTCCTGGAGGCACGGGGCCCAAACCACCACCAGAGCACCCCAAACTAAGTCGGTGGTACCCCTTCCCCATGGCCGGCTGGCAGAGCTTGGCCTTCGTGAGGGAGAGCGCCCGTGTGTGCGTGTTGGGAATCGCCAGCTCTGCCCACTCCAGAACCTGAGGCTCAGAGAAGGGAAGCAGCTCGTCGGAGGTGGCCCAGCTGGGAAGGGGCTGAGCTGAGGCTGGAACTCAGTCCACCAGGCTCTGAAGCCACAACCCAGCTTTCTGGCTGTCCCTGGCTGTCGGGGGGCCTGGCCTGGGGACCCGCACCTGGCCTCCAGCCGTCCCTGTCCCAGAGAAGTCCTCTCAAGTGCAAGGGGCAGCCATTCACCTGCACATCCGAGCTCCTCACCTGGCCCCACGGCCCATGGGACTTCTCCCCTCCCCAGTCGCCCCGGCGGGACCACCCCGGCCTCTCGAGTAGCGCCTGCCGCTCCCCCGGTCCAGCGCGGCTGCCTGGTGGGAGGAAGGCAGCTGGGTGGCATCGTCCACCCACTCTGTGCTCCGGGATCAGTGCCATCACTCTGGCCACGCAGACGCTGGACACAATGGCCTCTCACAGATGCAGTCCGGCCACCCAGGTTTTTGTTTGTTTGCTTTCAAGTTTGGTGTCAACATTTAAAAATAAGGAGATCACTTGTGGAAATCCAGTGTGCCTTGAAAAAACGAACGGGCTGACGTGTGCGAGCTGGAATCCTTCCTGCTGGCATCTGGGGGAGCTGGACCCCAGCCCAGGGTGGAAGACGCTGGTTCCCCATGGGAGCCACCTGCCTGGCCCCAGGAGGTGGCCTGGGACTTCCCCTCAACGGATACACCCCTGCAACCCATGGGGCTTTTCACAGAGAGACGGGGCAGCTTCGGGGGGGACCGTGCCATGCGGAGACCTCAGGGCCTTTGCAGGGGCCGCTCGCTCTGCCAGAAAAGCTCTTCCCCCGTCTTCTTGTGACTCACATGTGGCCCCCGGAGATTTCCTCTCTGACCACGCTGCTAAAGTAGTCCTTGTCTTCATTTGCTGTCCTGTCTTCAGGGCACTTGCTGCGACGTGATATTGCATTATGTGTTCACATATCACCTGTCATTAGGATGTGAGCTGTCTTGCCTTCTAGGGCAGCGGGTCTCACCCAGCGGTGACTCTGCCCCCAGGGGACACTGGGCCATGCCTGGGGACATCTGTGGCTGTCACACTGGGGGAGCTCCTGGTATCGAGTGGATGGGGGCTGAGGATGCTGCTCACCCAGGACGGGCCCCCTCCACCCCACAGATGGCCCCGATGTCAGCAGTGCTGGGGGAGAGAACTTGGAGCGAGGCAGTGGGTCTCCAACGTGCCCCCAGACCAGCAGAATCGGCATCACCTGGACACCTGGTAGAAATGCAGATTCCTGGCCCCTCGCCGGGCCCCAGCCGGGAATGCCGCTCCCATCCCACACGGCACAGGACGGCCCCGAATGTCCACAGGTCCGAGGTGGAGAGGCCCTGTTCTAGGGGCCAGCTCGTCAGGCCAGAGTGGCTGGACCTGAACCAGCTCCAAGGGAGGCCCAGCCGGTCCCTCGAGGCAGAGAGCCCGCCGACTGTGGCAGCTGTCCACTTTGGTCTCCACGCAGCGCCTCAGCTGTGCGTCCCATGCACTGAGGAAGTGGGGCCCTGACCTGCCCACCTGCCCACCTAAGTCCTCTGCGGCCAGGCTGGGCACACAGCGATCGCTCCGGCCCTTGGGCAGAACGCCGCAGCCTGCCATGCCGGCAGTTCCTGCCCCGGAAGCTGCAGACGCCTGGGGGGGCATGGACACAGCGGGTCTCCCAGCTCCAGCCAGCTCTGGCCTCAGCACCCTGGCAGCTGGAGAAGAGGTCTAGGGTCTTCACAGAACACCCCCCATGCTCTGCCGTGGCCCGCTCTGCCCTCGGGAGTCCAGTCCCCTCCCTGCCAGCTCTGGGAAGGTCAGCTGGGTTGTCACTGGCTTTGTCCCGAAGCTGACGGACAGCTGGGGTGCACGCCCCTCTCTCCCGGGCAGGGCCGAGGGTCTGAGCTGGTGGCCAGGGCAAGTCCAAAGGTGCTGTGGGCTGGGAGACACCATCCCGTCCGTCGCCTGCTTTTCGGGCCCGAAAGACACAGACAGGCCGGGAACTGCCGCTCCCCTCCCCGCCACGCGCTAATAAGTTCTCCTGCAGAATCGCAAACACCAGACAACAGAAGCCCCGACACGCTGTTATTACGATTGATTCAACCCGAGGGGCCTGGGTGCCGCCTCCTAATTTTCTTCTCTTTTGTCTCCAGATGGAGGAGGGGAATCCGGTTGACTCCATCCAGCTGTCACCTGTGCTGAGAGTCCCCTCGCTGAGCAGACCGAGGAGGGTGGGGGGCTGGCATGGGGGCTTCCTG